ATAGCACAAAGATGTTGTACCTAGAAAATAACAACTTTCCATTACAATAGACAAATATTAAAAAAGATGTACTTGTAGCAAACCATTTCTTCAGTACCCTCAAATACTGACATGAAAAAAAAGTGCAACCAAGCTTTCCTATGATTCAGTAATTCCACTTAACTTAGGTGTAATTACACAAGTTTGTTAATCAGTTGTCAGAAATGACCAAGGTATTTTAAAATCCGAATATTAGTGTAGGGCCATAAAAGACTATGGATACTGGGGTGGAGAAAGTGACAGCACATAGTTTTTAAAATGGGAGTTATAGGGAATTTTTTTTTTTAAGCAAATGCTTTAGGACTTACAGGAAGTCAGTTACTCTAACACTGATGCTGGTGGAAACAGGGTAACCAGCTGTTCATTTTGCTTGAGACTATCCAAAGTTTATCCCTGAAACTCCCACATCTAGAAACAACTACAGTCCCTGCCGTATCTGGAGGGTTGCTCACTTTAGATAAAAAACAGAACACTTAAAACACAACAAGAGCAGAATAAAGAGATTCTGCTGAGTTTGGAAAAGGGTAATTTATTATGCAAATTGCAGATGTGTTTAAATATGAAAGAAGACACTATTGAAATTATATTGTGATAATATGCAAAATTTGAAACAAACCAAAGCAGGGATCAGGAAACTTTCTGTAAAGAACCAGACAGCAGATATTTCCAGGGTTTTAAGAATTTTTGAGGGTAAGAGAAAGTGCTCTGCTGTTTAAGACAACAGCCTAGTCTAGTCTCCTTTTTCATTTTTTTTAATATTGTACATAGTATTGAGTTAAAACTGACATATAACATTATATTAGCTTTAGGTGTAATGATTCAATATTTATATATATTATGAAATAATCACTACAATAAGCCTAGCTAATATCCATAATTGTACTAGGCTATTCTTAAATCCAGGTTGGAGATTTTGTGAGTCTCAACTTTTTTTCAGTGCGGCAGCTCCAAATGTCCATCTGAAAACCTGAGAACTTGCCTTACATGAGGCATTTAAAATTTAAGGTTATGTTTCCACCAGGATTGGAAACATTTTAGCTTTTGTCCTGGCTTTAAGACTTTAGGGCAACTCTGCTTACTGCTTCTTTTTTACTTTAGCTCCTGGGGATTTCTCTTACTTTTCAGTGAATTCGGAGTATTTTAAAAATGTTTGTTATATTCTGTCTTAGGATTGTGTAGCAAAAGTTTCATCGAGTATCTACTTAACCATGTGACCTTATATCTTTCAAAACAAATTTACTTACATTATCTCTTGAGCTCAGAGCTTATTTTATTTTTGTTATAGATGAGGCAGCAAGTGGAAAGGCTTATTCTGCAAGACCTGCACGCACCTTGTTATGGAAGTAGGGCCAGAGACTTCATTCTCTTTGATAAACAGACTATCACTCCCCTCCCTTCTCGTTAAAACTCCAGCTAGTTTCAGGTTCATTCTATTCTGTTGTACCTGTCACGGTGCTCTATTGGCCTCTTGCTTACTCACTCTCATTATCTAAGGACTATGGCATCTACGTATAGTCTTCTTTTCTACCACACATGCTACCATTGCCCGAGTGCACTTTAGTGAGTATCCCATCCAACTCTCAGGCTGTATATTTCTTTGACCTATCTCAGTGACTCCAATCATCATTTTTCTGGACAGCAGCTACATTGAAGGGATTTAATCTAAAATATTAAATTCCACCCACCCTCATTTTACATGCAAATCATTACTTTCTACTTTTAGCAATGGTGATCTTATTCAGCAACCAAAAAATTGATTTATAAACTCTTACTGTCTCAAGAGCAGGATATTTTAGAATGTAGTCTTACTTTCTTTGGCCTTGACATTTTCTGATTTTTCTTCTCCAAACTAGAAAGCATTGGCCCCAGGAGATAATTAGGACTGGAAGCATAATGCACACTGCACAGAGCAGTTTGTTAGCCACTCTGCATGTGTCCTTCCCTCACCTTCCCCGCTGGACTCCACCAGCATCACAGCCATCTGTAGTGCTGCAGCAAGATTAGGCTAATAAACCTGAATTACTCTGAAAGTTTTAGATTAATATGTGAACATTTATCTTAGCCAAAGGAGCCAAGCTTTCTGTGCGATATAAAGGAATTTAAAGATATAGAAGTGAAAGACCTTGTTTTTTTTTTTTTTTTAAAGATTTATTTATTTATTTATACAAGCACTGGGTATAGTCAGAAGCATGGGAGGGTGAGAGAATTCACCAGAGCCAGAGGGGAGAGCAGAGCAGGCAGACTGACGAAGTACACTGCTGAGGGGAGCAGTGGGTGTCAGGAGAGGTCTGCACGCCATGTGGGACTCTTGCCTGGTGGCCGGGGATCAAACCAGCACTGCAGAGGCTGCGGGCAGCTTTGCAGCCCAGCACTCAACCGCTACGCCACCAGGGGAGGCCCGAAAGACCTTGTTTAATAGCCTGTTCAATCTTTTCTCAAGGGTCCACTGGCTGTTTATTTTCAACACCTAAGGTTGGTCTTCTAAATAAAGTTAAAAGTTTCCTATGGACATAAAATATGTGTAATGAATTCAGAACATTCTCAAACATTCCACATATTTTAGATGACAACATTTATTCTTTTAACTCTCATCTTGGAATCTTTGCTTTTTGTCACTTTATTTTATTGATATTTGATTTAATTAGTCATTTGTGGTTTTTAACACATTCATTTTTCTCTTGCCCTAAATATTCCATGCACTATTTTCTCTTTCTTGTCCCCTTTTTTGATTGGTAAACCATTTTTTTTTGTTATTTTGATTTCTTATTAGTTTATTATTTATTATTTTATTATTTTTTTTCTAAACTTGATCAAAGTCATTCTTTCAATTACCAAATAGTGCTAGAAACTTAAAATGTTAATTTAGTTTATTCCTACAATGTTTAACCCTACCTTTGTTATATAACTTGATAAAAGCTTCGATCCCATTAGGTATTATGTTATTGTTCATGTAATTAGTATTCACATAGAATGTCCATATGTCTTTCCTAGATATTGCTCATTGTTCTTTACAGATATTTGTGTTACTAGCTGGAATCATTTTGAAAAAGAATGTATTTAATTGAAGTAACATTGTATTATAACATGTGTCTTAGATTGCTCATGACTGAGAATCAACATGTTTACATATTACATTTATTATACCATATAAAGTCCAGTTTTATCCTTCATCATGCAATTGACCCTTTTTACCCAATTTACCCAACTACCTTCTACCTTCCCTTCTGGTAAAAACTAATTGTCATATAATTCAAAATTTTCTTTTCTTTTTTGTATATTTAGTCATCTGTTTGTTGGTTTTCTCTGTGTATCACATATGAGTAAAATCAAATAGTGTTTGTTTTTCTCCATCTTGACTTATTTTACTAAGCATTATACCCTCTAGGTCCATCCATGTTGTTGCAAATGACAGGGTTTTATCTTTTTAATATAATAATTTTTGTGATGTCAATTCTTCTAATAAATAAATATAGAATATCTTTCCATCTCTTTGTCTTTTATTTCTTTCAACAATGTCATTTATTTTCTGTGTATGGATCTTTCACATCATTGGTTAAACTTGTTCTTTGGTATTTAATTCTTTTTGATGTTCTTTTGAATGAAATTGTTTTGGGGAATTCTCTTTCTGCTAGCTTTTTATTTATATATAGAAATAAAATAGATTTTTATATATTACTTCTGTAGCCTGCCACTTTATTAATTATTTCTAATAATATTTTACTGCAGTCTTTGGGACTTTCTCGGTATATTATCATGTCATCTGCAAATCGTGATAGTTTTACTTTTTACAGTTTGGATAACTTATATTAGTTCCTGTCTAATTGCACTTCTAATTGATTTCCAACATTATATTAAATAATTGTGTTGAGAGTGGACTTTCTTATCTTGTTCCTCATCATTTATTCACCATTGAGTATAGTTTTGACTATTCAGTTGCTTTCCAAGTGATAGTAGTGAGGAAGTTTCCAACACAAACTAAAACCATTCAACTACAGATATAAGAAATACTAAACACATGAGTATGACAAATACAAATAAAAGCACAACTAAGCATGAAAACAGAATGGCTGAAAATTAAAGATAGTAGTAATTCTGCCTATTATTACATTGTTCTGTTTCTGAGACCCACATTAAATGTGTATTAGGCCTGTTACTATTTTCTATATAAGGAATATTTCTATATTTTTATTTTTTTGTTATTTCATCCTTCAGTTTGAGCATATTGATCTGACATGTCTATAATTACTAAATTCTATCATAAGTTGTGTCTAATCTCTTCTTAAATCAATTGGGGAGGACTTTGAAATTACTTTTTTATTTCTAGAATTCCCATTTCATTATTTTTTTGAGAAAATAGTCATAATAATAAAGTCAGGTGTTCTATAAGAGTTTAATATTTACTGTGGGGAGAAAAAGTAGAAAAGGATATATAGTGAGTGACAGGATGATATTGCTTTAAATAATTAAGTAGTTAATTAGCCTGCACTGAGAAGGTTACCTTTAGATGTCAGTGAGGACTGAGCTATTGGCATAGTCGGGAAAGAGCATTTCAGACTTAGTTTCAAGCCCCTGAAGTAGAAGTATATGCCTGTTGCATTCAAAGAATTGCAAGGAGGTGAAACTGGCTAGAATAGTGAGAGGGAGTCACTGTTGAGAGGGAGGGAAAAGAACAGCATATGAGCTCAGGGATGTCACCTGATAGTCAGCAGTCCTTTCCAGGTCTTACTCATTTAGTGTGATTTCACTGATAACAGTATCATAATGATTATTGTTCTGAGAATTGACGAGGGACAGGAAGACAAAAAATAACTGGTTAGTGGGCGTTAGCAATAAATTTTACAAGAGATGATGTGGCTTGAATGGGAATGGTTGCAATAAAGTTTATGAGAAATGATCAGAATCTAGATATGTTCATGATAGTGGAAAAACAAGGTGGGCTTTTGGGCTATTATTTCTTGGAAGCATTGACATTTTTTTTATTAAAGCATTTATGTACATATTTTCGAAGGTTGGTTACATATGTTATTTCAATTTCTGTGTCAGATAATGATATCATGGATAATATGTGAAGAATTTATGTTCACATTTGGCATTATTCAAAATGAAATGGAGTGCTTATTGAGAGAGGTGCTGAGGACCCACTGTGGCATGACTAATGACATAAAGCCATTAGTGTATGGTAATTCTATTTTCTGATGATTATGAGTAGTATGTTTATAAAAGATAGAAAGGGGAGCATATGAGAGTAATCAGTAGATAAAATGGATTATGCCTATATACAAATTATTCATTAGTATTATGTCAGTTTCATAATTCTTTAATATGATTTCGTTGTATTGCTCAAGATGACTAAAATCGCAGTTACTGAAAAAGATAAATTGAGTTACGTTTTGCAGATATCCATGCTATAGAACTAATAAAGGCAAAATAAAAAATTGAAATGGAGTACATATGCTCTCTTTCTAAAGGAGCATCCCCTCCAGCTTTTTGAGAGTCTTAAACATTGAAAAACATTGAAATTCTAAAATTTCATAAAATGGTGCTGAAAATGTCAGTGTGTTCTCATAATATGTCTGCATGTGAGTGGTTTGTGGCAGTCTCAAAACAGTTTTCCTTTTCCTTAGGTGCCAACTTTGAAGCAGAAAATTCTAGGTTAAATGGATCTTAGAAATTATATATTACCTAACCTCTCTGACCCTAAGTCTTCTCTTCTGTAATATGTAAAGACACTAGTTCAGAGTTGGAAGGGTAAAATGGGATATTGATAGCAACGAGAGTTTAAAAAGCTGTTCACTATGCATCGTTAATCTGGACATAATTATTTTACGCTACTACCTTAGAGGCTAAGAGAGGAAGTGATGTGCACAAAATTTCACCACTAGGAACAGTTTTGATTGTTTTTATTTGTTTGTGTCCAGACTAGTCTGTTTTAATAGGTAGCAATGGTGGTTAATTTTATATGCCAACTTCACTGGGCTCTGGGATATCCAAAAATTTGATCAGACATTATTCTGGTGTGTCTGAGAGGGTATTTCTGGATGAGATTAACATTTGAATCAGCAGACTGACTAGAGCAGTTTGCACGCCCCAAAATGAAGGCACTTCAATCAACCAGCTGGAGGCCTTAGTAGAACAAAAAGCCTACCCTTAACCTTCCCTTGAGTTGGCGGGAACTCATCTTTCCTGACTACCTTGATATGAGAAATTTTCGTTTTCCTGATTTGGGTCTCAAACTAAAAGACTGGCTTTTTGTGGGTCTAGAACACTCTGGCATTCAGACTAGACCTACATCATTTGCTGCTTTGGGTCTCTAGCTTGCTGATTACAAATTTTGGGGAATTTGTCATCTCCCATGATTGTGTGAACCAGTTCTTTATTATTGCTCTCAATATATATATAGTCCTAGTATCAAATGTGTTTATCTGGTGTGTGTGTGTGTGTGTACACACATGTGTACACACATGTGTATACACATGTGCATGTGTATACATGCACATATATATATTGGAGAGATATGCATATATACATATAAATACACATATCCTATTGGTTCTGTTTCTAGTTCTGGAGCACTATTATTAATACAAAGACCTCTGCTCCTGGCACAGAAAGTAGAGGTTATACTATTGACCAGGAAAAAAAAATCTGCTTCCATCATATTACTATAGTAAGTGTTTCAAGGGTTGCTAATTCTGTGACTGCATTTAGAATTCATGATTAACTGTGAATGTTGGGAAGGAAAACAATCAGTTATATTTTTTAAGAGTTTGGAAAGAAAAGCAATTTAATGCTGAGATGAAGAAATTAGACCTAGAAAACCTGAAGTCCAATTTAATTGTTTTGTAAACCATTATATATATGATGAATCTCAGCTAAGTCAAAGTGGATGGCAAAGGAAGAAACACGGGCATAAAACAGAGGAAGACGCAAAATCAAAGCAAATGACTGCATTTGTGAAGGCACAACCAACACCGATTCTGTACTAAGGTTTGCCCCCATCACCTGACAGCCATCAAGGAGTAGCATTTCTACGGTCACAGAGAGGCAACCAGAAGATAACAATGGCCATAACTGCAGGGCAGAAACAGAGACTCCAAGGAAATTGGAGCCATTCTGAGTCCCTAGAGGGGAAGGAAAGGATTTATTTTAGGTGAGAGGAAGAAATTTGCTCCTATTCATTTTTCTGTTGGACAACAAAGAGACATAGGTTTCCCGTATTTCCAATATTAATGAAATATGGTTAATGAAAAAAACTCCCAGAACAAGTGAAAATCCATTAATTAAGTCAAAAGCCTTCTGGTAAAGAATTGCTTGTTTACACTGACATTTGGCAATGCCATGTAGATTCTAAGGAAGGGAAATCATATTAGAAGAAATATGTCTCCAAAGTGGACTTAAAGTTATAACCTTGCTGCAGTAGTAACATCCAGAGATTAGAGTAGTACAAAAATCCAAACATTAATGTCCCAAAATAAAAGAGATCAAAAAGATAATTCTAACTTTAAAATATTACTTATAATTCAGTATATACGTGTATCTATTGTTGACCTCTCATGCAATGTTAGCGCTCCATTCTCTCCAGCAATTTAATTTGCAAACACATAATGAGTTGTGCTAGAAAGTTAACATGCACACACACACACACACACACCGCACACACATACTTAGTTTTGGGTATAGCCTAGGAATAAAGGAGAGCAGTCTTACCAAGGGGAGGAGGGCTATGACTTTAAGCCATCTTGGCCGGTCTCCTACCATCTGCTCTTCTTTTTTTTTAAAGAATGGGGCGTTTGCAATTGTATGGGGGAATATAAAAATAAAATTTAATATTAAAAAAAAAAAAAAAAAAAAGAATACATTGTGGAAAGTGCCTCTTACTAAAATTTAATCAATGAATTCCATGTATTTTTACTGAAAAAAAAGTAAACAATGTTTCAAAACAAAACAAAAAAAAAAAAAAAAAAAGATTTATTTATTTATGCATAGAAGAATGGGGTACAGGCCAGAGGTGTGGGAGGTGAAAGCATTCACCAGAGACAGAGCAGGGAACAGAACAGGCAGACTGACTGAAGTACACTGCTGAGGGGAGCAGTGGGTGAGTCAGGAGAGGTCTGCTGCACCATGTGGGTAGCTCCCTGGACAGGGATCAAACTCGAGCTGCAGTGGCTGGGGATAGCTTCATAGGTTGTGTCTTAACCCCTTGTGCCACCAGGGAGGCCCCCTTCTGCTCTTCTTGCTTAGCATGAACACAACTTCATCTTTAAAATTTCCTGTGAACTGACTGATAGTGGTATTGATCTGCCTGACTTTCTGAAAATGTGTTCTGATCACTCTCTGACACTTTTTGTTTTCCAGATCAAAAATTCCTTTCTGTAGGGCTCCCATTTTTTTCCACATTTATCTATTAGATTCTGTTTGGGAATTTCCTATTGGCTTTGGGAGTCAGCTTTTGAGGTACAGTTTATATGGAGCCTTTTCTAGTACATAGTATGAACATGATAAATTATCAGGGAAAGGCAGTACATAATGCATAGTTTCCCATCATTCTATATGTACTTTCCAAGGAGGCGAAAAGAAGGGAAAAAATGGGTAAGATCAGGTGGAATGGCAAAAGAAGATGGAAATCATAAAAGGGAGGCAAAGAAGAATTGTTAGTCAAATGTATTAGCTGGAGGCATAGATTTTATTTTCAGATAATAGGGTCCCTGGTCACAGACTGTAAATAAAGAGGCAACTATAAATCAGAGGCATTGTGCAGGAGAGAGGGAGGGAGAGGGATAAAAACGAGGGCAGGAATAACACAAGGGACTATGGTGCATAGGTGAATTGGTGGTGGGAATTCTGTGGGGACTACACCTGAGAAAAGAAAGCAAACATTGTACAAAAATGAACAATGATGTAAAATATAATTAATTAATTAATTAATTAAAAAACAAAACAAAACAAAAAAACCACAACCTATTTTGTTGCTACTAAGTGCACAGGAGATTTCCTACTGAGAAAGAGAAATAGAGAACAAAAAAATTGAATAACTGAGGGAGTTGGATAAACTGAAAAGGATACTTTTAAAATTTCCATTTGTTATCTCAACATGTTAGATGGAATGAGTTCTTTAAAGGTTAAGAAATTTTTCTCTCTATTTCATCTATAGTCACATAGTCTATTTGGGGGCTCCCTGGTGGCACAACCTATGAAGCTATTCACAGTCACTGCAACAAGAGTTTGATCCCGGCCAGGGAGCTACCCACATGGCACAGCAGACATCCTGACTCTCCCGCTGCTCCCCTCAGCAGTGTATTTCAGTCAGTCTTCCTGTTCTGTTCCCTGCTCTGTCTCTGGTGAATACTCTCACCGCATCTCTGGCCCCCACTTCTGGTATGCATAAATAAATCTTTTAAAAAAACAAAACAAAAAAAAACCAAATAGTCTATTTGATGTAGGGAATAGGACTCTATATTATTGTAGATTTTAAACTGCATTATATATTCACATCTATAAGGTTTGTTCTTTTTATCATTATATTGGTTGCATGTATTATTGAATATGAATCACACTACACGTTGCATATTGGTTATTTGCTGAAAATGACTGAATATACATTATCTAAGAATTAAATGTGCACTGAGTGAATGGGGATGAAGGAAACATTAAAGTTAATTATAAGTTAGCTTTACTACTATCTAAGAATGGATGAAAATAAATGAGGAGAGATAAGCTATTGTATGTTTCTGCTTTGTTTAATCCACAGAATGTTCGATAAAGTAGGTAATATTATCCATATTTTGCAGATGAAATCCAGTTAAGACATAAAGCGTTAGGGATAAAGCAAATATTTGAACTCAAGTCAATTTACAATAAAACCTCAGAAATATATAAAGTATGACAGAGAGTGAGTTAGAAGTTAAGTTACTAGGATCAAAGAGGATTTCAGGGAAAGCACATGCCAGTAGTGACCTGTGAACAATGGTTTAAGAAGAACTCAATCCAAAGTTCATATCTGATTTAAAGGGCAAATGCCAGGAAGCAGAATGGGGAAATTTATACATTTTTTTCATGACTAGAAAGGCTGAAAATATAAAGAAGGAGGAAACACAATAGACATTTCTCAGCTTGTAAGGAAGAGTGAAAACTGACCCAAAGAATCCATAAATGTGAATCTTAAAATAAATGTGATCAATAGTATCATGATTGGAAAAATGGTCCTCCAAAGATATCTACATTCTATTAGTTTAAGTCCATTTTACAAATGTCTTAAATGATTTTTCCTCTCTTCCTTATTAAAAGACAAAATAACTTTATAGATGTGATTAACTTAAGGATCTTTTTTTTTAAGTAGGCCACATATGCTTTGTTGGATGAAATTCCAATTGCTAATTACAATTTAAAATACTAAACGCAACTTAGTGTTTTTCCCATATATTTTATGCTTAAAAGTCAAGTATAAGGAAATCATATTTAATCAGATTCTTACATTTATTAAAAAATTTCTAGTATGACAAATACCAACAAAATAAAAATTCTATTTATTCTAACAAAAATGTTTACCATTATATACCTAAGAATTGCAAAAAAAATTATATATATTTATAGCAATCAAAAGCACATGAATTACAAACTAAACAGAATCAAAGTACAATGGAATGTATTGTAAGCCTGCAACCCTTACTACCAGACTGAAATAAAGGGATATTCTTACAAATGGTAAGAATTCCTGCTTTGATTTTGTATGGAATATTTTCTTAAAAAGAGAACTGAATTTAATGACAAACAAGAAACATAGAATATAAAATAAAGCAAATTTGTAGGCACAGAAGTGCCCTATATCCCGAATTTGCCTGTTGGTGAACAATGATGAAATGCCATTGCCAGGTCAGTGACGTTGGGCCAGTCATTACCCAGCTATATAAACACCAATGAAAAAACACAGGGAAACATGAAATAATTAAGCTACTGTATAAGATAGTATAGTGTTTTAACATAGATGAGAATCTTAATTTTTTAAATTATTATTTTATTTTATATATTTTTTACATCATTTTTCATTTTTGTACAATGTATGCATTTTTATCTCGGTTATAGTCCCCATGAAATTCCCACCACCCATTCATCCTACTCCCTTCTCCCCACCTGCAGAATGTTCTGATTTATAGTTGCCTGTGAATTTTGGAGAATCTAAATTTCAAGTACAGTTATCTATAAATGAAAGACAATATTCTACGGTTCAAGGAACCACAGAAGTGGGGGGGGAAATCTTTACACGGCTTCTGGGATGACTGGTTTCTTAATTCAGTGATCATTCTTTTTTCAGAATATATTGTCATGCTTGGATATAGTTTGCAACATTGGAGTGATCTGATATATCACAGAGAGTAAAGTGAAGGAAGGCTTACCCAGTGATACAGTTTGGGATTTCTGACCTCCAGATCTGTAAGATAATAAATTTGTGTTCTTTTAACCATTAACTTTGTGGTGATTCCTGATGCATTGGAGACCCCTAAAGCATGCAGTGCTGAGATAAGGAAAACATCAAGGTCATGGCCAAAAAACTGATCAGCTCGGTCAGAGGACTGACCCATGTACAGATCAGGATGTTCTTTTCTTGTATCTGTGAAGCTATGTCTAGGGGACAAACTAGATTAGAAAAAGAAACAGAATGACCTGATGGTGTAGAACCTTGGCCCGGACAAGGCCAAATGCTAAAAGATTACTTGGTTGTCTAGTAACAAACCTGAGGTGTGTGGGGGGGTACTTGTAACAATAAAAACGAGTTGCACTGGGCACTCGGGACGCTTGAGCATGAATGTCCCCTGGGTCCAGCTTCTCGTGAACTCTATTTTGTGTCTGCCATTTCTTTGTTTCCACAGTTCAGTCGGATTCCTCTCTCAACCCTGTTCACCAGAGCTGGACACCAGCACTTATAAGAGCAGTAGGAAATTAAAATATTAAGTATGAAAAACAGCAAATTATTTTAAATAATTTGCAGAATTTATTTCCTTGAACTATTTGTCTCAAGAATGTGTTGGGAATCAATGGCTTTTTGCAGATAAGGATAAGCCAGGTAAGGAAAAATAAAATACAAGTGGAAGAAAATAACTGATAAACTTTTTAAAATCATAATACAAGACTAACAGTTTTGGGGTAGTCTACATACTGTGTCTAGCATTTATGTACTTAATTTTTCCTTTGCCCTGCATTTTAATTTTTTTCATTTGAGTTGTGCTTCAGAAAGAATATACATATGTACATGCATACATACATACATATACATTTAAATAAAAATTATAATGTTTCTGGTATAACCAGGCTACAAGTTATTCTGAATGAGTGCCATTCTGTACTTGATTATTACTATCTCCATATCATGTCTATTCTCTTGCCAGGTAATATTCACACCTTTCAGAGGAAGTACATTTATTTTCTACTTTAATTCATTCACCCAGAAAATAGTTGTGCTCCCAATCTATATGAAAGACACTATGCTAAGGCCTGGGGAGAGAGTTCTGAAAAGAGTACACATTGGCCTAACATTCTTTTTTCCTCCTCAAAATACTAGCAACCACACTGATAATACCCTGTATGACTCTGTTTTCACTTATCTCTGTTGCTACATGTTTAAGGACTAATATTACTTAATGAATATTAGTATGTTTTTCTGTCTCAGTTACCTATTTATCTAAGTTGCAGGCTATTAGAGGTAGTGTATGTCTCATATGGTATAGATTGCATTTAAGAGCTACTTAATGATAATTTCATTTTTTTAATTTTAATTTTTATTTATGCATACAAGAACTTGGGTACAGGTCAGAGGTGCGGGGAGTATTCACCAGAGACAGTGGGGAGCAGAAATACATTGCTGAGGGGAGCAGTGGGCAAGACAGAAGAGATCTGCCTAGCCATGTGGTTAGCTTCCTGGCCGGGTATTGGCTGTCATAGCTCTGACTTTAACCCTTGAGCAAACAGGGAGGTCCTTGATAATTTCTTAATGACAGGTACATGAATCAACTATTCTGCATCAAGATAGGCTTAAAAAAAAAAAAACTTATAGTTGAGTCTTTTTTAAATAATTATGTTTATTGAGGTAACATTGGTTTGTAACACTGTATATGATTTAGAGGTATAGGTTCATGCCATTTAATATATATGTTACCACACCATATCCACCACCAAGGCACCTGAAATGCTCCACCACAGTTCATTGACCATTCCCTACCCCTGCCTTTTTTGTTATTACCCATTTTTCCCTTTTGGTAACTTCAATTAAAAATAAAACAGCTAATATTTGAGTTTTGATGAGTAAGAACTGCCCAGGTGGTGTGAGAGAAAAATGAGTTTCAAGCAGAGGCAGATACATTTTTCTGTATTTGTACAGAAATGAAACAGGAAAATGTGTGATATTTTTGAAACAAAAAGTGAACACTTTTATGCATTTTATGCATTGTATATAGTATATCAATGAACTGAGAAGTCATACTGTGGTTATATGGGGAAAAGCTTTTTTGTGTCATGGAAAAGTATGTAGATTTGATCTTTAAAACATTCTTGTTTGGTTGTTTATTCATTCATTCATTTATTCACTGTGGTAAAAATCGCAACATGAAACTTACCATATTAACCTTTTTCAGTGTAAAGTTTGGTCATGTTAAGTATCTTCACATTATTGTGAAACAGATCTCCCAAACATTTTCATCTTGTAAAATTAAAATTTCATCTTTTAGCATAAGAGAAACTGTGAAATGGAAAGCCTTAAAGTGAAAGACTATTAAGTTCTTACCTCTTCCTTCTTCATTTTTCAGAAAAGATAACTCTAGTATATAACTAGAGAATTACCTGACAAGGGAATGGGAGATCTTAGGAAGTTAATAAACTTCCTGAGTTTCTAAATGTTAAAAATGGTTTTTTGAACATTTTTCTTAACCACTGGAAAATTACTATTTTTTCCATTTTATATTCCAAAATATAATGTAATATTCATTTTTCAATTAGGTTCTTAAAGCTAATAATCTGTGATAACTATTCTCAGTCATCTCTGATGTCTTATTGGAATCACCTGGAAGTTTTCCCACATGATCAAACATTTTTTTAGGGTGGGCCTAGGCATCTAGATTAAAAAAGAATTTACTCAAGTGATTTTAATATAATGCCAAGTCTGACAGTAACTACTCTACAGAAATGTATTTCCCAAGGCACTTGTTATAAAATGAATCCAAGTAAGGCCTAGACCACAAATTTTTGCAGTCCATACTGATTTTCTATAATCAATATAAATCCAGCAAAAAACATATGATGTGTTCAATTCTCATTTGCCATTTCAAAGCAGGCACTTTTAAAAATTAATGTTGGCATTGTTATTAAATAAATTGATATTCAAATTGGTTATGTAATGTAGTAAAAAGCCAATGTCTTATAAATCTTGATTTTATTTAACACCTGTGTGAGTTTTCATAAGGTCTCACCAGTGTAAAAACCAGGGAGTGGGTTGGAAGAGAAAGCTTTTTTTTTTAAGATTTTTATTTATGCATACAAGAACTGGGGTACAGGCCAGAGGTATGGGGGGTGAGAGGATTCACCAGAGACAGAGTGGGGATCAGAACAGGCAGATCTACTGAAATACACTGCTGAGGGGAGCAGTGGGCTAGTCAGGTGAGGTATGCTGTTCATGTGGATAGCTCCCTGGTCAGGGATCAAACTCATGTTGCAGTGGATGCAGACAGCTTCAAAGGTTGTGTCTTAACCCTTTGTGCCCATGGAAGACACATGGGCCCATGGAAGAGAAAGCTTCTTACACATAATTTTCATTATCCCTTTCCACACCAAATCACTAAAATTTATAAGTTTAATAAAATAATATGTCTGCCATGCACACACAGATTCAAAACAAGTCCTTACTCCAGCTTTCCAAACAAATTGCCTTCCTCAAGCACCTTCTATATAGAATTAGTCTTTCAGTGATCCAAAATTACTGCAGTTCTGATTTAGAAATAATATGTCTTAGAGGTGATACATGACACTTTTTTTTTTAACAGGGGATTTGAGGCAACATGTTTCAAATAGTTGTCAAAAATAATTTACAAATGGCCTTTGATTGTTTTTTCAAACAGAGGAGATCTGATATTTCTGATAAATCCTGCTTTGAATTAAAAACAAGAGGAAAGGTCATATTTGCTGTTTTAAGCTTCCTTCTCTTCTGTCGCTTCTTTTATAACTTCATTAGCAGCCATAAAGAAATAGAAAAGTACTGCAGTCTGATGACACAAATCTCCACAAAGTTTTCTCAACCACTATGAAATTCTATATTCTTTAAAATTTGAATTTCAACTCAATATTCTTTAAAGCCAGATGATTTCTTTAACTTTTGTGGCTCTTTTGTAGAGAACCAGATATTTTGCTCAAAATATTTTTGAACCTGAGTGCATTTATTTAATGTATTTCCATTGACTATAAATTATTTTACACCCCAGTGCTAGGCCCCAGAAAATGTAAATATTTAAGAAATTAACTTGAAAGTTTGAACAAAAAGGTGAAAAAAAAATTAAGGAAAGAGATAATACAGAAAAATATGGAGAATAATACAGAAAATATACTATATAAATGATACAGGCATGTGAGGCAAGGAGAAACAGAGGAGTAATAGAGTGATGGGAGTTGAATTTTAAGTAAGTGCTAAAATATGAGTATATCAAAGGCAATTTCATCATGCTGGACCCAATGGAGACCAAAGCCTACTCCCAACCGCCATCTATTTTTGATGATTTCATAAGATTTGTATATTCTTTTATAATTCTGTGATTTCTCCTTCTGGAGGAAATGCCTACATTCCCTTTGTCATACCCATAAAAAAGACTGGAGTCAATTTGTTAGGAGAGGGGATGCTTGTGGGTCCAGGTGTGTACACCATTTGAAGAGTAACAGCCCCCACACTAAACGTGAAATCAAGCCAGTGTGGATTTATTGAAGCAAGTGGAAAGAACTTCTGACAGCAGGAGGGGTCCAAGGGAGGAAGTCCATTTGCTCCAGCCCAGTCTATGACTATATACCATCAGACTCCTGTTGTACAATGTGCCAGGTCATTGATTAAGCACTAGGTGGTCAGGAAGTTCGCAGTGGTTGTTTTTCTGTTCCCTAATTATCCTGTTACTGATCTTACTCTAGGTGGTAGCTAGCTCAGCAACATTTCAGTAAAACACTTCTGTTTTCCTGGGAGTTGTTTTGTTCCCTCTGTTTCTACATTGTTTGAAATCACTGTCCCATGTCTCAGCCTTTTCGGTTCCCCAAGTTCTTCTGGGCTCAGTTCCTCTCAAATTTTGCTTTGCATCTCATGCGTGTAAGCAACCTCAAAGTACTTTGAGAATATGAAATACTCACCTTATACAGAACATAAAATGTAAATGTTATGCTTGGCACTTTAGTCAAAGAAACACAAACTGTAACAGTATGTAGAGTTTTATCTTCCAGATGGTGGTGAATCACCAAAGGAAGCCCTAGGGTCCAATTGCACAACTTTCCTAGATACCTATAAAGCGTCAGTTATGCAAAACCAGTGTTTTCTCATACTTGTTTCTCTCAGGAATTCTAATATATATAGATAAAAATTATAAAACAATCTTTTTTTAATCTAAAATCTCTCCAGTTGTGGCTAATAAAGATATAGTGACTATATGGAATGGTGCTATAGAAGTATTGGGTAAATATAAAAAAAATTGTAGCCTTAGATATTGTAACAGTGAAATAGGATACCAATGGCAGTATTTGAATAGCTTTTATATATAATCTAATGCTGAAATGTTAATGCTTTATAAACTGCATATGTAATATATTGGTTCCATACAATGTCAGAATAAATTAATACTTGCATTAAATGTATGTTATGATAATATCTTCTATATTTCCTAGAATTTGCTCCTCTGTCATTATAAAATATTTTAAATTTGTAGCAGTGGTGAGGAAGAATAGCACCATTGGAATGAAAGTCCTCCTGTCCAATATGTATGTATATACATCCCACCTCAACTCCATATTATGTTCTTCCTTTTATTACTCTGGAGAAAGTGCCCCTCCCAT